AGAATGCCTTCATCTTTTTTGGGTAAGTTGGTTTTGCGCTTTTCACCTCTTCGGCTTTTAATCCACTTTTTTTATGTTCTATGTTGTGTTTGCTTGTCCTGCCCTGCCAGCCCCGCCACCCAGCCACTCCAGGCTGTGTCTCAGGAGTTCCCGCAGCAGGGCCACGGGGGCTCTGACAGTGGGAGCCACCAGGCCTTGCCAGGTACAAGCAGGGGGGGTTCTGATGGTTCCCGGGCAGAGTCTGTGGCTTTCTTCAAGTTTTTAAAGAAGGTCCTAATCCAGAAACAGTTGGGAAACTATAGAACTTTTTCTTCCCCATCCCTTCCCACCTCTTAAAAAAAAAAAAAAAAAGAAGAGCCTCTATCCACTTGAACTATTAGGTACTACTGGTTGCCCTTAGTAAGAGCCAGCAGTTGGTATTCACAGTTAGTCTTTTCCACCACCAGGCATTTTTGCCATTTTATAAAATCAGTTTGAAAATAAATATAAATTTAGATGTGGCAAGATACATGTCCTTGGGCTGGGGATGTGGCTCAAGCAGTAGCTCGCTCACCTGGCATGCGTGCGGCCCGGGTTCGATCCTCAGCACCACATACAAACAAAGATGTTGTGTCTGCCAAAATAAATAAATAAATATTAAAATTCTCTCTCTTTAAAAAAAAAAAAGATACATGTCCTCTTCAGTTAAACCTTGTGTCCTGAAACTGATGGAGAAACCTCAGACGGTTTTGTTTTTAAGTAAAACTATTGACTTTTTTTGCAGAAAATAATAACTGAAGCTTGTTGAACAATTACTGTGTGATAGGCACCATTCTTAGTGCTTCATTTACATGTACACTCTGTTAATCCCCATAGCCACTCTTAAGGTGTCACACCATTTTATGTGAGCAAACAGGCACAGAAAACATAGATAACCTGAGACCAGGTGGCTGAAATTCAGATTGAGGTTGTCTAACTGCACAGCCTGGTGTGGTGAGATCTGAGGTGAATTCAGCTGGCACTTTCTCTTTTGCTAAGTCTTCAACCAGTTGCTTAGTTAGTTGTTTCCTTTCTCCCTTTAAGATTATAACACTTGGGCTGGGGATGTGGCTCAAGCCTGGCATGCGTGCGGCCTGGGTTCAATCCTCAGCACCACATACAAACAAAGATGTTGTGTCCGCCGAGAACTAAAAAATAAATATTAAAATTTCTCTCTCTCACTCTCAAAAAAAAAAAAAAGATTATAACACTAAAAAAATATAAAATGAGTAAATCTCTCCTCCCCCTTATGAAATAAAATCTGAGTGAATCTGTTAGTCTGCAGGGAGGTGTGGCTGTGTGTAGGAGAGGGAATGCGGCCATGTTCAGAGTTCTCCTTCAAGTCACATGCTGAGGTTCGAACTTAAAGAAGAACCGTTATTCAGTTAAAAACAAATTAGGTTCCGTGGCAGTACTAAAAGCAAATTGAAACTGAGTTCAGCTGGTGGGCACTGCTGTGGGAACAGTTGTAGAGATTGCCTGCGGTTCTGACGTGCAGCACAGCAGTGCTTAGCGAAGGTACGAATTACCATTCCAGCAGTCAGAGGCGGATGTCCGTACCAGAGGTGACCAGTCTCCTTCTAAAACAAAACCCAGCTCTGAGGGGTCTAAGAGATCAACTGGCCGTCCAGCCCAACCTGCCACAGCTGTTTTATTTGGCCAGTATAGAATTATTTTTGTTATTGAGCCAACATTTAAAAATCAAGAGAGTTGACATAAAAATCTGAATTTTGACTTTTTCATTAACAACCAACTGGAGCCACCTGGGTGTCCCTTCTCAATAGGAGCCATTCTTCCAAGCAGTCCCACTGCCTGGCACTGAGGGCCAGCTGCCCCTCCGCCCACAGGCTGGCCTCTGCCCTGTCCACTCCACATGGCATCATGGGAGCTGGCCACCTTGTGGTTGGCTCCCTGAAGCCTGGCAGCCTCTGTGCCCTGTCCTCCTCCTCGTCTCTTCAACAGTCACCTGGCCACGATGGACTCTTACCTGTCCTGTACACTCCAGACAGCTTTTTGTAAACATGGTTGCACTCTGGGCTTCTCCCGTGGGGGCCTGGAGGACAGCGTGGACACACGTCACCCGAGCCCAAGGCCAGAGTGCTGGGAGGGCATCTTCCTGACACACCCGTCACTTGGGCTTTTCGTGGGTTTTTTTTGCTTTGTTTCTGGCTCTGCCATGCCCGGTGAGATTTGGGGGGTGGGGCAGAGCTGAGTGGAACTCAGGGCTCTCATGTGCTGGGCAAGCACTGGACTCCTCCCCAGCCGCTGGTTCTCTGAGGCCTCTTGCCTTTTGAGGTGCTGMTTGCTCTCCCTGAAGCATCTAGTCCATCCCTTGCAGGCTCTTGTTCCCACCAGACTCCAACTGAACTCCTGTTTGTCCCCAGAGCCACCCATACATTGTCACCTACCAGCCTTCCCTGCCTTCCCGGTGGGCTGAGCCCTGCATTTCTGTGCCACCGCCACCCCCCCCACCCCCCCACCCCACCCCCGCTGGCCACATTGTGGTAACATACGTGAGCAGTTTGAGGACAAGAACTCTCAGTTATCTTTATGGCCCTCGCATCTATCACATCTGGACACCCAAAAAAGGTGCCTTGCCTGCCAGATGAGCAACTCAGTGAGGGGGCACTTGCCTGGCGAGCAGAGGCCCCAGGCTCCAGCCCCGCCCTACAACAGGGTGTTGAGTGAATTTGACAAAATCAGGTATTGAGGGTCACGAAGCGTCAGCTGACTTGGAAGCATCACATGCCCGTCTAGCACCTCTGGGTGAGGTCTGGGAAGGCGGTGTGGCCAGTGGCATGGCTGAGCAGGATGGGAGGGCGCTGGGCCTCGGAGAGGCAGTCTGAGCAGTCACTCTGGTGTTCCTGTCCCGCCATTCTCATACTGTCCCTTTCTGCCACTCCGGGCAGTCATGTGGTGTTTCTGCTTTATCCACAGAGGACTGGTTTTTAAGTTTGGCCGCACAGAAGACTTGTGGCAGTGAAGGCACGGTTCGTGCAGCTCGCAGCCCTGCGTGGGTGTCCCACTGCCCACCCCCCGTATTTTGTGAAGCCATTTTCTAAACTTATTTCYGAGTGTAATCTCCGCTTCGAGGTGCGCAGTGCTGAAGTCACAAGGGCAACCGCGGAAGGCCTGCGGCAACCAGCCCAGTCACCTGCGGTGTGCACTGATTAACTCGCAGCGCCGAGGGACACTGTTTCACAGGAGGACTCCTGTCGGGTTTTATCATGGTCTGATTTGTAAAATTAAAATAAGTCACAAAAGAAACTATGGATTTATGAATGTAAGAATTGTTTGATTTGAGGTCCAAAACTACAGTGAAGTGCCCCAAGACTTAATGTGGTTATTTAATTGTAGCCTCTTTGTGTCAAATCTTAAATATAAACATTTTCTTGTTTTTCAAAACTATTCAGTGGCCAGCCTTCTTTCTCATTATACTTTGGTTTTGGTTTATGCAGTTTTACCAACAATTTCTGTCCACATTTCTGCATAAGTAGCACCTGAGGGGCTCCCATGGGGGAGTGAGCACATTGGAAGAGAGAGGCCTGTGACCCAGCCTCTGGGCACTCATCCACTGCCACGGATTYGGGAGGAAGGAAGAAAGATGTAACACAGCCAGGTCACAGTGTCCTGGACTCTAATGTTCACGTTTATCGTTGAGGGAAAGAGGGAAAGGAGAAGGACTTGACACCTGCTCTCAGGTGACACCATTTCTTTGTTGTTCTGATAATAAATTGGGATCCTGTGTTTCATTTTATATCTGAGCTGAACCACTCAGCTCAGCTGACCAGCAAGGTCAATCATAATGACATATTAGCTACCAGAAGCCCTGAGTCTGTTCCTCTTGGAACTCCTTTGTCCCCCAGGCTTCCTATCTCTGCAAAATAGGGTACATGTTAGCCTGCGTGAAACACAAGCTCTATCTTTTTTTTTTTTTTTTTTAGATAATTTTTTTTTTTTTTTAATATTTATTTTTTAGTTCTCGGCAGACACAACATCTTTGTTGGTATGTGGTGCTGAGGATCGAACCCGGGTCGCACGCATGCCAGGCGAGCGCGCTACCGCTTGAGCCACATCCCCAGCCCCAAGCTGTATCTTAGATGAATTGGATGTATGGGACTCTTCCATGTGAGCCACTGTCTGCCTACTGGTAGTTTGAATTTTTCCCCGTCATCAGGACACTGTTCAAAGAAATGGAAATATTGCTGCTGTCATCCCCCAAGAAATGACTCACAAGGTTTTTGGTCTTTTTTTTTTGGACCAGGGATTGAACCCAGGGGTGCTTACCCGCTGAGCCACATCCCCAGCCGTTTTTTGTATTTTATTTAGACATAGGGGTCTCAGTGAGTTGCTTAGGGCCTTGCTAAGTTGCTGAGGCTGGCTTTGAACTCAGAATCCTCTTGCCTCAGCCTCCAAAATTGCTGGGATTACAGGCATGTTCCACCATGCCCGGGGGCTTATGAGGTTATTTGCATAGATGTATAGAATGTGGAAATGGGAGGGCATCTCACAAGTTGAAATCCATCCACTCTTCTATACATGAAACGACCATGGAAACATCTTCCCTCAAGGTCAGGTAACTAGTTCAATCCTGAGACAGTCCATCTCCATCCCACGGTTGACCCCAGCCTCTGTCTCCACAGTGCAATTCAGGACAAGCTCAGAGTGCTGGGCTAAGAGCATGTTTGCAAGGACTGAATGTGAGTGAGTTCTTCATTTTTCCAGTTCGTATCTCTGCTCTGCTGCTGCTGCTGCAGACAGTTACCTGTCTAGCACCCTTCTGTTAAGCATGAGAAAGAATCTAATGATTGTTAATAGAATTGAACCAAAACCTTAATTATGTGTCTGCATAGTATTATCTGGTCTGGTAGTATCATCTTTAATGAAATCATATTATTTGAAACTGTCATTAAATTACTACTTAAGCAAGTTTTCAGTTTTTTTATTTTTTAATGTCAAATCCATCTCTGACCTTGTGCCATTCAACATAAGAAGACCTTGCTGTAGTGATATCGTGTACAAAGATGGGCACCAGGGACAGGAAGCTGGCTTGTTTCCAAGATCAGTCTGTCGTGTTATTCTTGGATGCTTTTGCTTAAAATCCGGCAGCCAAGTGAGGAAACTGTAAAAGCAAAGCAAACATTTATATTAGAGATGAATCCTCTTACATTTTATATTCATACTGATTCCAGTTTTATCCTTTTTTTTTCTTGAGACAAGTTCTCATTAAGTTGCTGAAGCTGGCCTCAATCAGCGATCCTCCTGCCTCTGCCCCCAGTAGCTTGGATTATAGGTGTGCACCACCTCGTACAGCTGTGGCTTGAACTCTTGAAGCTTATATGAACCTAATTTTTTTACTGGTTTATTTTAGTTGTAGATGGACAAAATACTTTTATTTTATGTATTTATTTATTTTGGGGTACTGGGGATTGAACTCGCAGGCACTCGACCACTGAGCCACATCCCCAACCCTATTTTGTATTTTATTTAGAGACAAGGTCTCTGAATTGCTTAGTACCTCGATTTTGCTGAGACTGGTTTTGAACCCGTGATCCTCCTGCCTCAGCCTCCCAAACCACTGGGATTACAGGCATGTGCCACCACACCCAGCCCATTTTATTTATTTTTATGTGGTGCTGAGGATTGAACCCAGTGCCTCACATGTGCTAGGCAAGCGCTCTACCACTGAGCCACAACCCCAGCCCCTGAACACTTTTTTTTAATTTTGTTACCCAGGCTGGCCTTGAACTTGGGATATCCTCATGCCTCAGCCTCCTGAGTTGCTGGGATTATAGGTGTGCCTCAGCATACCTGGCGCATTTAGATTAATAGTCACTTGGTGTTTGTTTGAAAACCTCTAGTAATGKAAACTGGGCGCTCACTCTTGTCACATGAAGTAGCATACTCCATTTTGCAAACAGTTGAAATTGTCGGAAGTGTGTTCTGCATCCCCCACTGGGCACCGAGTTCTTCAGTGCCGGGTCAGCCTGCCATGCTGCCGAGCAGCCGCACTGCGTGTTTTGTGACTTTGGGTTACAGTCCTTGGCTGGTGATGGGGTGCTGACCTTGGGGGCATTTCCTACAGATCAGTCAGGGCACAACTAYCCAGTGAGAGAGTTGCTAGCACGACCTGCACTGCAGAGAGGGGAGGCCAGTGTTCTACAAGCTCAYGCGAGTGAACATAGGAGAGCCCAGGTCTGGCTGACTCCAGAGCATTTTGTTTTGTTTAATATTTATTTAGTTGTAGGTGAACACAGTATCTTTACTTGTTTTTATTTTTTTATTTTTTTTTAAAAGAGAGAGAGAGAGAATTTTTAATATTTATTTTTTAGTTCTCGGCGGACACAACATCTTTGTTGGTATGTGGTGCTGAGGATCAAACCCGGGCCGCACACATGCCAGGCGAGCGCGCTACCGCTTGAGCCACATCCTC